GAGATCTAACGAAGATAGAGAGAAAGAGAGAGAGTAGATAGAAATGAATAAAAGATGGTGATGAAAGGGAGAGAGAGATAGGAACATTGAATCAAAAAAGTATGTATATAATAATAAAAGATGATGAAAGCGAGAGAGACTGGAACATTGAATGAAAGTATATATTTATATAATAAAAGATGATGATGAAAGAGAGAGAGAGAGGAACATTGAATAAAAAAGTGTATATATATAACACTTCGGGGGAACAAATGGGGCGGGGTCTGGGTTGAGATATGTATTCCCGTCCCCAGCCCGAATATCATCGGAGATTTATTTTTTAATACCATCTCCGACCCGTTGAAAATATTTTTCGGGGAATAACCACTTAATTCGGGGTTAGGGGGTCGGGTCCCCGTCGAGCCGGGTTCAAATTGCCATCTCTAATGAACCCGTAGTGGTTGGAAAATTTGGAATAAGGAAATTACATAAAAAATTCTAAAATTTGACATCACCAACAAATTATATCTTGTTTCAATTCTAATAATAATATTATAAATTCAGACTTAAGTATCTAAAAATTACTCATAATTGTCATATAATTCTCTATTCATTTTAGTTTTAATTCACAACTCATTTTTCCATTGTCTTCTACGATCCACAGATTGAATAAATAGTACGAAATAGCTGCCTAGCAACACCAAATAAATCCTCACAAACTTGTAAAAGGAGGCGTGACCACAAACGCGATTTGAAAATTCATTGAACCTCAAGCCTAATATGACTCTTTGAATTGTTGAACGTTATGCTTTTGTCGTATGAACCCTTCGTTACCCATATATGTTAGTGATTGGAAAAATTGTACTCACTGGGCCCATTTAATTTAATTTTTTTTCCAAACTCATTAATTACAAATCCAATGTCGGATGAATCCTTGGACTCGGATCAGAGTCTAGAGAGAAGTTTATAAACCCCATACTGACTGGAAAAATGTATTTGCTGGGCCCCCAGTTCTTTTTATTCGGGCAAGGAACCTATTAAAAAATGTATTTACATGCCTCATCTATCAATATATTATATACCGTAGTGCTACATGTACTAATTAGTATACATATTAATGTACTAACTAGTGTTATAATATTATTAATAATTTTATTTATTATACAAATTACAAATATTTAAAACTTCTAAAATTATGTCACATCATCTGTTGGTACACTAATATGTACACTAATTAGTGCATATAACATTATTCATTATATATAAAATGACAGCTTTTAATTCATAAATTTTGTAAGAGTTTTAATATGTCAATATTAATTTTTTAATTTTCTAATTTAAAAGCAAAAGGATCTCAACATTTATTAATTTCTCCCAACTCCCAAACCTTTTGAAGGATTTGGTCAAACAACCGCGATTGGGAGCTCGAATTTGAGCTCCCCCGAATGCCCCTAAAAACAAAAACGACGTTGTTTTTGCTTTTGTTTTGTTTTTTTTTCAGCAGAATGAAGAAGAAGACAGCAGAAGGAAGAAAAAGACGGGGGAGGAAGGAGGAGGAGAAGGAGAAGGAGGAGGAAGGACTGGAGGTGGCCTAAAAAATGGGGCTAGAGGCGGAGGCGGGGGGCAGAGGCGAGGCAGAGGCATGGCAATCGGCGACGGAGGCGGAGGCGCGACGATCGGCGGAGGCGACGCCATGGAGGCGACGCGATAGGCGGCGAAGGCGACGCGATCTGCTTCCCCTCTCTCTCTTTCTCTCCCTCTCCCTCTCCATCTCTTTCTCTTTCTCTCCCTCACCCTCACCCCGTTTCAGACTGGAGGAAGACGGTCTGCTTCCCCTCTCTCTCTTTCTCTCCCTCTCCCTCTCCCTCTCTTTCTCTTTCTCTCCCTCACCCTCACCCCATTTCAGACTGGAGGAAGAAAAAAAATTTGAATTGCTGAAACGACGTCGTTTCAACAATTCGGGGCATTCGGGAGACGCCAATTCGAGGCACAAAACATTTTTCTTTGGTCAAAATCCTCTCATAATAAAAATTTAATACATTAAGAACAAGTATAAAAAAAATTTATTAACTTCTCCTAACCCCCAAACCTTTTGAGAAATTTGGTCAAAATCCCCTCATAATAAAACTTTAATACATTAAAAAGAAACATAAAAAATTCCTTAAAAAATCCAACATATATGATTACTATCAAAATATTAAATTTTAGGGCTGGTTTGGCATCTACTAGATAAGATAAAAAGCAAAAAAGTTATCAAAAAAGCCAAAAAGTTACCTTATTTTGGAAGTTTGGGCGGCAAAACCCTGTCTGACTCTGTAGAGGGTAAAATTACGTTGTTGTCCTTCCTTTTTGAAATTACATCTGAGTCGAATATATCGCAGAATATACGCGATCAGAAAACCCCTTTCCTTCTCCAACCTCACAAATCCCTCAGTCGGTTGAACAAGTCTAGTCTGTCGAAGACACACCGCCCACAGCCGGAGATCCGTCACACCCTTCACCTTGCACCACCGCCACAGCCGTGCCAAAGGCAGACCTCGACGCGATCACCTGAAAACTGTAACCGACAGGAAGGACCATCCCTCGTCCAGATTTGCACCACCGCCGACCAGATCTACACTACTTTGGCCCGTATCCTCCAAAGAACAGGGTAACATCTCTTCCACGCCACTAATTTTGGGCCTATGAACCAAATCTGTGCATTTCCCCATTTTCGGCGATTTGGTAGTTGCGAAGAAAATCAATGACTTTTCCTGAATCGCCCTGTACTCTCTCCACTCTCACACTTCCACTTTCCAACCTTTTCTTTTCTTTACCTTCTTCATCACTCTCTCCTCTGTTCCTCCACTTTCCTTTTTGTCTTTAATGGCTGCCCCATAACCTAACCCCTCTATCATACAATATACGTGGTTTGATGTTTTACCCTTATGGGTCTCTCTCTTTTTGGTCGGTGAAGATGGAGATCTACACTACTTTGGCCCGTATCCTCCAAAGAACAGGGTAACATCTCTTCCACGTCACTGATTTTGGGCCTGTGAACCAAATCTGTGCATTTCCCCATTTTCGGCGATTTGGTAGTTGCGAAGAAAATCAATGACTTTTCCTGAATCGCCCTGTACTCTCTCTACTCTCACACTTCCACTTTCCAACCTTTTCTTTTCTTTACCTTCTTCATCACTCTCTTCTCTGTTCCTCCACTTTCCTTTTTGTCTTTAATGGCTGCCCCATAACCTAACCCCTCTATCATACAATATGCGTGGTTTGATGTTTTACCCTTATGGGTCTCTCTCTTTTTGGTCGGTGAAGATGACCCACACCGCCCTTCAAAAAATTTGTAGATTTTTTCTTCTAGGTGTGTGATAGTGTTAGGGATTTTTTCTTCTGTAAAGCTTTTGTTTTCTCAGATACCCATTGACAAAATATTTTACATTTTGACAATTTTTTTCTTGTTTCTTTTCTCCTGGTAATGTTGGGCTTTATGATTGTAATGTTCACAATTTTGCGGTTTGAATATTTCATAGTTGCTTGAGTTTGTTGGGTCTTTAATTGTTCAATGATGTTAAACTTTTCTAGCATCCAAAGCATATTGTGGAAAAATTCCGCCCTCATGTAAGACTGTTAGTTGCTCAAAATTTCCTTTTCTGGACTAGAATTGAATTTGTTATTGGTCTTAAGTGTTAGTTGTTCACCTTATAGATGTTCTAGGTGGAGTATAAATTATTGGTGTTAACTGTTACTTGTTCAGCTTATGGATAGTGTTGTCCAACTCATAATATAATTCTTCTCATATTTATAAATTATCTCATATGGTCAAAACAAAAAAAAAACATAAGAATGGTATTAACAAAATCCTCTAACTTGATTTGTTAAAGAAATGGAGTAATGTTATATAATTCATCTCGTGTTATTATTAAGAAATTCCATAATACATCTTCAATTTCGTAGGATTTGTTATATGTCTTCTTTTTTTTAGTAGAAGGGTTTATTATATGTTTCGTTCTGATCTTTTCTGATATTTTAATTTCTCACTTGATGTGTCTTACAACTTGTTAGGTTTGTTTCTTTTTTGCTTCTTCTAACATCTACAAAACAAAATGGAGATTAGTGTTTCCAGCATCGTGTTGTGTATGACAATAATTTTTATGAATGAGACCTTATGTGGATTTCATAAAAGGAGAAACAACTGTGCACATTGCTTAAAACATGAATGATCATAGTAACAGGAGAAACAACTATTTTTCCTTATCCAATTATCTCGAGTAATAAGCACATGACAAGCAATTCTCTGAAACCAATTTCGAGACAAAATTTAAGTTCATGCTCTAAAGATAATAGATTTTGCATTTCATACAGAGTTATATTCAGTACAATTTAATAAACAGATCAAAGCTTAAAAGATCTTCCAGGTGAATAGCATTTCAGATTCAGGATTAAACAATTGACAGCTTTTGGTAATGGTAGATAGCAACTTCTTCTAAATGGAAGCCACAAGGATGAGTTGGTTTGGAATGGACAAATGAATGCATGGATATTCATGATGCATCTATATTTTCTCACAGGCAAGTTGCATAAATACCAGACACTATAGTAGTAGAGCTCCAATATCGAATGATTCAAAAATATGTACAAATACAGAACAAGTATGTTGGGTGATCAGATTCTGTTTAATCAATTTTAATGGGCAGAACTCCATACTATTGAACTACCTAACTGGGACCATGCTACAGAGGCTACATTTGATGTATCACTGCAGTGAATATATATCTATGCATGTTTATATATGAAAATCCTTTTTCAGAGAAGTAATCCAACAATATAGAAGGCATGAACAAGAAGAACCGCATCAAGAATGAACATGAAACTATGAAATCCAGATACGGAATTTTTTGCTGATTCAATTGTTTTAACTAGAAGGCGATGGATGGGAATTTCTTAAGTACATATTGTTATTTACCATTTTCGATATGTGACAATGTTGCTTTTTTACATTTTCACAATTAATGTTGCATTGTAGTACTGCAATGGAGCACTCACAATCGCCATCCACACCTTCGAGACATTTGCGTAAGCGTGGTGGTAAACAGTCTCAACCACAGTCCAGACTAGCTCACAAAGCAAATTGGGACTCCGACACGGTGCGCATGTTCTTGCAACTTGTTATCAAAGAGTCGGACTCAGGTTTTAAGGGTAGCTTCCATACAATGACAATGCACAGATACAGGGCTATCGCCAAGGCCTTCGAGGAGCGTACACATAAGGTCCATGAGGTGAAGCAACTGCAAAACAAGTACGCGTCACTGAAAAAGGATTGGCAGTCGTGGTCACGTCTGATGGACAGCAGGCATGGGCCAACCGACATAAGTTACAATGAAGCAACTGGTTTGATACAAGCATCCGACGACTGGTGGGCCCATTATGAAAAAGTAACAATTTCATATTCTTCTTTGCAACATCCAACGTGAAAATTATTCATATGTTACAATACAGATTTATAAAAGTTCTTCAAACAATCTTAACTTTCAATTTGTATTTCCCTTATTGGTGCCACCTCTAGCTTTCCAAAATTGTGTACATGTCTTCTTTTTTATAAGGCTCTTGGCTGCGTTTAATTGATAGGAAATGAAAGAAATACAAAAATGAAAACTATTTTCCTTTTCTGCATACGAGAACGTAGGTTCCACCATTGTCATTTTGTTGAAGAAAGTATTTTTGCTTACATCATTTCCTCTATATAAATATTGAGATTATGTAGCTGTGGGAGAGTTATAAAAATTTCTGTGAGTTGGGTTGTGGACACCTTTGATGATTTCTGGGTTTGATGACAGGGTTTGTGAAATATGGGATTAGGAAAGGGAGAGTCTTGGGATGTGGGCAAACCAAAGAGTTGGAAGAAGACAAATGATGCTGTGGAGGAGACTGGGTGTTAGGTTAGGTTGACGTCTATTGGCAGCTGTGCTGTATTTCTTCAAGATCTAAAACAAAATCTGAAAAGTTTAATTGGTCTCCATCAACTTTAATTTACTTCATTTGCTTTTCTGAATGAATTACATACAGGTAATTGCTGTATGTTCATATTGAATGGATATATGTTGCTGAATAGTTGCACATATTGCTGAATATATTGTTGGAATGTGGTAACAACTTGCTGAATATTCATGCACATATTGCTGAATATTTGCTGGAATATTCATGCACATATTGTATGTTCCCTAATTTTATCTAAGAGTTGCACATATTGCTGAATATTTGCTGGAATGTGGTAACCACTTGCTGAATATTCATGCAATCTGGTAACCTGTAACATAAACATCTCTTCCATGGCTGCTGTTATGTTTCTCATCCTTCCGTGATTCACTTCATTATGTTTGCGTGTTTTGGTTTTCCCCAGATTGACAAGAATGTATTGAAGTTCAAAACGAAACCATTGGAGCATATGGAGCTGATGCGAAAGGTGTACGAAGGTGCAACTGCAACCAGGAAATTCGCATGGACACCAGGGGCAACGTTCGAACCTGTGGCCACGGAGGACAATCTGTTGCTGGTAGACGAAGATGACTGCAAAGACAGCAGTGGTTTGCCCCCTTTTCAGCCATCCGCACAGTGTGGACAAACTGTCCACCACAGTTCTGCGCAAGATGAGGACATCCCGGTCAGTGTACATGCTGTGGCATCGGCAATTCACGCTAATGACACACCTATGAGTGGCCGGAGCAAACGCAAACTCTGTCGTACAACACACTCGCAGCGGAAAAAAGGGCAGAGTGTCGGAGCATTGCTCTTGGTGAGTAGCATGGAAAACCTTGCGTCTTCAGTTAAATTACAACAACGAGAAGTCCGCATGCATCATGAATATGGAGATTCGGCCTCAGACTGCATTCGCAAGTGTATGGTAAGGTTGTACTCCCTAGAAGGCTTGGACCGGCAAGACCCACTAATCCTTTACGGTATGTCGCTTTATTCGGAATCTACGACATGAATGCAAAAGTTTAACATCATTATGTGACCCACATAAGAATATGAATTATTCTATTTTGTTAAGCGCACAATAATGACGTAATATAACAAGAAATGCTCTGTTTTCTGATATGTTACGTTATAACTTAATGAATGATTATTCATATATGCAGAAGTATTCACATCATCTTTAGCACAAGGCCCTTACCCGGGGGTAATAATACCGTGGTTCAAATAATTAAGTTACAAGTTTACGTATGCTATAAGTCAGGAATGTTACAAGCTCAAGAATGTTACAAGTTTGTGAAAGTTACAAGTCCAAGTATGTTATAACTTCATGTATGTTACAAGTCCAAGTATGTTATAAGCTCATGTATGTTACAAGTATACGTTCATGAGCAAGTATGGTTTGAAGTGTAAATTGTATTGAATACACATTCATGAGCAGAGCAGCTGAAAGAACATGGCTATGTAGAGCTATAAATGAGGATTCTAACTTCATGTTTAAGAGATGTCATTTGCCCCAACTGTCAAGACTATTGATCTTACAGGACTTTACAGATTAACAACACAGCATTGGGGAAATTTTGCGATGGTGCTCGCAGATTAACTTGCGAATCCATATTCTGTCTACATTTTGATCTGATTTTTGCATTGGAATTTGACAAGAACACTTGTTTTGTGAACTCGTCAAGTTTTGTAACTTTCAGCTGTCCAATATGTGATGCTGTGTTTCGGAGATGTCTGGTTTTTGTGTAACACGGTGATAGGTTAGTTATTATATGTAACAATACCGATATTTTTTACCAAATCCGCTCCAATTTAGAATAATGTCACGGTCAAGGGTCCAATGAGAACAGGGAGAGGAGAAAGAAAGTAATGAGAGTATATAAATGCTTTAAAAAAGTCTCACCCACCCACCCAGCTACCAAGGACAAGGGAATGCATCTGTGTGTTAAAGTTGTTGTGCTTGTCATGGGGTTGATATAAATTACACTGAAATCTTTTAAAATTTGGTTAGATTACATCTCAATTTTTTAATATTTTATAAATCATATTTCATCTGTGTGATTTATAAGTTCATTTTATAAACTTTTGTTTTATATAAAAGTCAACAATTCCTAATAAAAAAAATAAGAAATTATATTTAAAAAAAGGTAAAGCAAAGAAAAAAAATAAAGAAAATAAAGCAAAGTAAGAAAAAAAAAAGGTGATATGTTTAGTATTAGTTAATTTTTTGTAGAAAAATTGACAAATATTATATTTTTAAAGTGTATTTGGTGTGTTCACAAACTTAAAGAATAATGTAAAAAAGATGATAATAATGGATGTAAAGCGTAAAAAATATACATACATTTTCGGACAATAATGGAACTGAAAGAGGTAATACGTAGGCAGATGGACTGGTGCTAAAATTGTACCTAAAGATTTACCCAAAGATTGTTGTGGACTTCCTTCAATATTGTCCATTTGTGGACAGATGCTACAATTGTAGGAGCAAGGATCCTCTACATCAATTCTCTCATTCACTCCCTCCTTGCAGGGACTTCAGGCCCACTTTGAGGCCCAGTTTTGATAATCTGAATCGTTCATATTTGAAGGTTTATTCAGTATATCATACCTGTAAATAATCAAGTTGGTCGGATATCAGAAAGTATGTGTTTAGAAAAAACGAACTAGAAACTATTTTTAATAAATAGTTTTCCGAACACATGCTTTCTGATATCCGATCAACTTGAATTTTTACAGGTATGATATACTGAATAAATCTTGAAATATGACAGGTTCGGATTATCAAAATTGGGCCTCAAAGTGGGCCCGAAGGCCCTGCAAGAAGGGAGTGAATGAGAGGATTGATGGAGAGGATCCCAATTCCAATTGTAGACCATAGGTTTTTCATAGCAGGTTGTCCTTTATTTTTTGGTAATGGATGTACCCCTTTTTTTTCATGGCAGGTTGTCTTTTTAGTTCACGTGAACACTGTTGTGCTCATGGGAATATGAACGTGTAAAAATTACATTTTCAGTAAATATGTGCGTACCCTGTATGTGATGGATACTTCTATTTTTTTACATTATTAAAATGTCCAGTCTATTATCATGGCAAAAATTAATATGAAAAATAGGTTTTTCTTAATTAGGCAAGCTATTCAGTTTATTAGCATGGCTGCACAAAATATTATTTTGTGGACATTATTAAAATGTTTTTTGGTTCCCACAAAAAAGTAAATCAAACGTAATGGCACATATTTGAACAATGTCATGGACCTACATAAAAAGCTACGCATTTGTGTAAACATGACCCCCACAACCTTGGCTATTTATTTCTTCCCCTTTTGCCTATTTTTTGCCTTCAAGAGTTCACAATGTGGTCATCTGTCTGTCCCTCTCTCGCCATCAACTTGAATTATTTTATTTGCTTGGAAGTTTTTGAAGTTGTTCACATTTTTCGCCAAACTCAAAAAACAAATGGCAAATGACGCAGGCCCGAGTCACCACGTTGCACTTTCCGTTGCCACCTAGGAAGTTATCGATGAAATTGCGAGGGAAATGTTGGTCGAAACTGATCAGAACTTGGTAGAAGCCTATAACAGTGTGGCAAGATATTATTACAACAATTATTACAGAGTCCCTCGAAATACGTCAATACTTTCGGGACATTTATGGATGTTTGAGTTATTTAACGGCCACCAGGGCCGGTTTGAAGATAATGTCAATATGTCACAACCAGTGTTCTTGTTGTTATGTGATGCGCCTTATAGTTTCGGATTGACGTTGCCGGAGCGGGAGCATGGCGTTTCGCTGGAAGAGAAGGTAGCCATTTTTATTTGCGCGTTGCAGGGTCTATCTTGGAAACATTTGCAAGAACGGTTCCAACACTCAAAGGAGACATTGTCACGCAATTTTCATGAGGTAATGCAAGTTAGGATACCGTTTACATCGGTTCATAGTAGGAGTCTTACGCCCGAACAAGTACAACAAGGGGGCCATCCACATTTACGGTCACAGCAGTGGTACCGGCCATTCAAGGTGACAATTTCCATTTTTTACCAAATTTTTTAAAGCTTACAAAAAAACCATGATGAGGCCAAAATAATTTATTCAAAAAGAGTTGAAGTCAGCTTGTATATTTGATTTTAAGATAAATTATATTAACATCTGTCAAATAATGAACAAATTACCGTTAAACGTGTCAACTTTAAAGAATTATTTCTTTTCTTCACAGTAGTTGTAATTTTGATGGCATTAATAGATGTTCACCTTATTATATTATGGTTACATATTTTACATTTCAAACTTTGTTTAACAATAGTTACAAGTTAGGTAAATTATAAATATACCTGATGGTATTATATTTTATTAATAAACTGTTTAAGTAACAGATGTGCAATGGTATTATCAACTAACTAACTTTTATATTTTTAAAACAGAACAATATAATTTTATAAAGTTGAAAGATTAATAATTGTTTGTCTTTTTATTGGGAGAGGTTTTTCTCAAGTCAAAAACCAAGTACAGAATAATGTTGGGCTTCTATGGACTAATCATGGAGAGCTTACATTGATTGTGCAAACTAGTGAATATATAGCGCATGTTGAGTACTTACATTTCAAAATTTGTTATTTTTTGGTGCGTTGCGTAGGACTGCATCAGTGCATTGGACGGGACGCACGTGATGGCTCGTGTCTCGCAGGATTACGACACATCATACTATGGCCAGAAAGGCGTGCCGACACAGAATATAATTGTTGTATGCGACTTTGATTTGTGCTTCACATTTGTCTCTGCTGGTTGGGATGGGAGCATGCACGACAGCCGGGTTTTGCACTACGTGACAACCGAAGATAAACATAGCTTCCCGCACCCCGCACCAGGTACAAAATATTAAATCGAAATATGAATATGTACAAACTATAAATATAAAAAATTTCAATAAAGTATTTTGTTGGCAACAAAATTGTGAAAATTATTGTCTTTTTTTTATATTGTCAACAAACGCAGTTGTCTAATGTAGTTTATTTCCCAAAATCAAAATTTTTGCAAACAACTTTAAAAAATGAAACAAATGAAAATGAAAAGTTTTCTAAAATAATGAACTGGTACATAAGAATGTGAAAATGAAAATGAGATGTGATAATTTATTATTTAGAATTTCTTTCAAACGTGCTCAAAATAGAAATGTTGTTAATGAATTAGAAAGTAATTAGAAATATGTTTGCGTAATTGGAATTATAGTTGTTCAGAACAAAAGAACTTCACAATGAAATTATAATTAAAAACAAAATTGGGATGAGAACAATTTTTATAATGAAAATGCAATTGTCATTAAAAAAAATTATTATAATTCACCAACAATGCTGTAATTGGGAATATAATTTTTGAGAACAAAAGGAATTGGGAGAAGGAGTAATTGAAAACAAAATTGGGATAAAATTAATTTAGAAATGGAGAAATTATTCAACAAAAGAATTAGTTATTAAAAAAAAACATTATGAACCAATGCAAGTTAATTGAAGAATAATTTAAGTGGTACAAAATACTGTCAAATTGAAAATGAAATGAAACAAATTTTGCAGGAAAATACTATTTGGTGGATAGTGGTTACAGCAACAAGACAGGGTACCTAGCCCCCTACAAGGGGTATAGGTATCACCAAAATGCCCATCGAAATCGAACACCGCAGAATCAGTTCGAAATGTTCAACAAGGCACATTCGTCACTGCGTAGTTGTATTGAGCGGACATTCGGTGCCTGGAAGGCTAGGTGGGGGGCATTGCGGAATATGCAGAAGTTAAGTTTTTCTAATCAAGTTACGTTTGTATGTGCATCGATGGCGTTACATAACTTCATACGTCGACATAGTGAACTTGATGAGGTCATGATGCGTAACCCAGACCGTGACGATTACGTGGCCCCCCAAATGCCCTACCACGACGAATACACACGGGTTGCTGATGTGATGGAGGAAGAGGACTCGGACCCTGCAATGGCCGCAGTAAGGGTGAACATTACTAACGCACTGGTACGGCAAGCACACCGGTAGGGGCGAATTGGAAATACAAGAATATTGATTGAAGGTTGTTAATATCAGTAACTGAGATTCATATTTGTAAACACGTTTGGTTTTAATAGTCTCATGTGTTTCGGAGCGTAGACATTTTCATAGTAGTGTATTTTTAAAGGAAGTATGTCCACTAATTAACTTCTGCAAACATGGGGGAAGTTTTTGCAATATCTTTTATAATAATTTGTTCTCAACCTAGCTATGCCAAAAAATAATTTCTAGCCATTGGTCAGAAAAAAAACAAAACATAAAAAAAAAAAAAAAGGAAATTTGCATGACTGGGCATGTACGTGATTTATCTTTTTTTATTCACATGTTATAATACGCATTCTCGAAAATACAGAGCAGACCAGTTCCACTCGTTTCCAATTTTCGAACAATAATGGAACAATTGCAACCTGTGCTTGAAAAAAAAATTAATAATGAATACAAACAGGAAAACAACGGAAAAAGATCCACGACAAATGAAAAGAATACCAAAAAATGACAAAAAAAGGAAAACAATAAAGCAAAATTAATAATGTTAAAAGAGTAAAAAATAAAATGAAAATGTTAAAAGGAAAATAAAAAAAAGGAAAAGAATAAAAAAATTATTGACTAAAAAAGGAAAAGAAAAAACCAAAATTAAAACGAACATAATGGAAAAAAAAATATTGAATAAAAAAATGAAAAGAAAAAAAAAATTAATAATGTTAAAAGGAAAAGAATAAAAAAATAATAATGTTAAAATGAGAAGAATACTGACAGAAATCCAAAAAAAAAAATTATGTTAAAAGAAAAAGAATGGAAACGTATGAAAATGAATACAAAAAATAATAAAAATCTTTAAAAAAGGAAAAAATATTTGTTTTCGTGCTTGTGAAAACAAATAATAATGGTATTAAAAAAATAATTTCTTTCAAAAAGGAAAAAAAAAAAACAACAAAAAATTTTAAAAGGAAAAAAAATGACTATAAAAGAAATAAAAAATTAATGCTAAAAGGAAAAAAACTCAACATGAAAAGTAATGAATGTAAAAAAAATCAGACCGTTGCATAGTGCTATTTGTTGATTAAAAAAATTTGAATTATTGTCAAAGTACCGTTGCACAGTGTTGGTTGACGAGCAAGATTCCCAAACCACGCGACACGTGTTCCTGTAGTTGTGTCAGGGAGGAAGGGTAAAAGAGACATTTTATCATGTGTAATAATATTATATTACACACATTTTCATGAAAAGTCAAAAAGTTAATTCAAATCTATATATTTTTTTCTTAACTTTTTTAATCTAGAAAGATAAAAAGTTAAAACACCCCAAGCCAAACCTTAATATAAGTTGGTATGTACAAACAAAAATATTAATCAATGGTTTCTTGTTAAAAAAAAGATTCTTGAACCGCATGAACCAGATGAACCAGATCAAGTTTTTGAATTGGTTCAGAAAAGAACCCCTTCGAGAAGGCTCCCTTCCCCTACAAAAGAACCCCCACCCGAAACGTTTTTTGGAAGGGGAAGGAGAAGAAGAGGGCGGTGCGCTGTTGCTGAACGGGATGATGCTTTTGCCGCATGGTGCTGGTGAGGGCGGTGGTGTCCATGAAGGATGAGGAAGAGGAGTTAACGGTATGGATAGAGATGGATATCAAGATTTGGAGACGGAAATCAAATCTTGGCAACCGGAGGATAGAAATAACGGTGAGTATGTTATTTCACGTTCACAAGATTAATACGCGCTGGCTTTATGGTATATGGTAGGCATTTTGTCATCCATGGAGGAATTTTGACATGATAATTTCGTATTGAGTAGCAGCAGATAATTTGGATTTGATTCCCAAATGTCCGAGGGCGAAGTAGGAGTTAAAAGACGAGATCAAATGTGTGGTTGGAAAACTATTCAGCAGGTCCAGAATTGATGCATTACTCATTCAATATTGGGCACCCATAACAACAGACGGCCAAGCTATTCTTACAACCCAAAACCAACCATTCGCTCTTAGTAAAATTTATAAAGGACTGTGTTGGTAAAGGATGATCTCTAAACACTATAAATTTTACGTGGATGGGGAGACTACTGAACAACAACTTCGGCTTCCTGGCCGTGTATTCAAGCATCAATTGGTTGAGTCCTCTCCGAATGTCGAGTATTACTCTAACAAAGAGTATCCACAGCGCAAACATGCTTTTCGTTGCCAAATTAGAGCAGCTTTGGCTTTGCCCGTGTTTGAACCCACTGACCATACATGTGTCGGTGTACTTGAGCTACTGTATACCACCAGAGATGCATTCCTAATTTTTTTGGAGGAAGGTTGTGCCTATGACGCTTTTCTTGTTTGTCCCTATCCTCTCCCAAAAAATTGCCATATTCACTCTCTTGTTATTCTCTCATTTTTTTATTTTTTATTTTTTTTTTAAAAAATACAAAATTTCTGTAAGCATCTTGTGATGATGTTTCATTTCTTCATGAATATGTAATCATGCTTCTTTTCTCCTTTTATTGTCTCAGTACTTCTTAAAATATAGTGAACACTAGCAGTGGGAGGAAGCCAAATCCTTTAGGAGGCCTAATGCAAAATTTTGTGGTTGACTTGAAGATGCTCTTCACTTTCAATCATCTTGCCCTTTGAAGTTTGGACTAATCATCTTTTAGCCTCTTAGGACTGAACATAATGCATTTATGTTGTTATTGACATGATTATCATTCCCCTGCAGGGGCTAGATCTGAAATGTTTAAATCTATGGGAACACCCGTTCATGGAAGTAAGTGGGCAAACTGTATGTAATGCAATGTCATATCTAGTATTTATGCTTCTTTTGTAAATATGATGAGGAATATGTTCTAACAGACGAATACTTACAAACCAGATTCAAGACAAGAATGAAGCAGCTCTTACAGATGAAATCTTGGATGTGCTGAAACTAGTGTTGGAAGTTCACGAATTACCTTTGGCTCAGATATGACGAACATGCAGGGTTTGCAGATCTCTTCTCAAGAATGGGGTCTTTGGTTTGAGCCGCCAGAGAGGACTATCCTCTTTGATGGAGGAAAATGGTGATATTTTTTTTAGGGCATGTGGGCATCATCACTTTAGAAAGGGTATGGGGGTTGTTGGGACGGCACTTAAGTCCCTTAATTTGGTATTCTGAGCCGATGTAACCCAATTCAGCAAAACAGAATACCCCGTGACACACTATGCTCGAGAGTTTGGATTAAGTGGTTGTGGTTGTTTCTCAGTATGCTTGTGGAGTAGTAACCCTGGAGATGACATTTATGTGTTAGAGTTCTTTTTGCCGGTGAACAACAAAGTCGGTGGAAATGTAATGACCTTATTGATGAAGGAGATATTGGGAACAATGAAGAAAAAAATCCAATGTTTTAAGCTTGCTTCTGGAGAAGAACTGGGGGAAGAATTAATTGTTGAAGTTATTGATTTTCAGTATGGTGAGAAAAAAATTCAAACTTTGAAGCTTTCTTCTGGAGAAGAGCTGGGGGAAGAATTTTCTGAAGTAACTGATTTTCACAATGGTGAAAAACTTAATTCTGTTCAAATATCCCAAACTAGGCCTGAACCATTACAAAATGGAGCAGATTTGATGGAGCTGGAGTCATCAGATCAACAATCGATGGATGCCGTAAACAATGAAAGCAATGTCATCAGTGCGGAACGAAGCAACAGTACCTGTTCACAGGGAAAAGGCACAAGAAAGAAACTAAAAAGAAAGCAGAATACAACTGGTGGTAAAATTGAAATTTTTTTGGAGGATATATTACAAACTTCACAAATGAGAATCAAGGATGCTGCGAAGAGCCTCCATGGTCAGCTTACACTCACAGTAATTTAAATATAATGTTTGTGATCTTGCTTGCTATTTTCAACTAGACACCCGACAGACATTTCTTGTGGACAAATATTTGAGCTTTTTGCATTAGCAAAGAGAAAGCCATTTCTTTTGTATGGATTATTCTATTCTTCTTTTTCTTTTTTTTTTTTTTTTTTTTTTTTTTTTTTTTTTTTTTTTTTTTTTTTTTTGCAGTTAGCATAGCTACATTGAAGCGCGCGTTTGTAGGAAGTTTGGTATCCCAAGGTGATCACCTCACCATATAAACCAGCTAAACAAGAACGGTGGGAATTCTGTTCAAATATCCCCAACTACTGGATCTCTGCCCAGGCTTGAACCCTTACAAAAGGAGGGTGGCATGATGCAACTGAATTCATCGGATTAACAATCAATGGATGCCATAAACATTACGAATGTTGTCAGTGCAGAACAAAGCAGCATTGTTGTCACTTGTTCATAGGAAAAATAAGCAATAAAGAGGTCAGAAAGAGAACTTAAAAAACTGGAATTATAATTGAAATTCCTCTTGAGGATGTCCTACAAGCTTCGGAAATGAGCCTCGACAATGCTGCAAATACTTGAGGATGTCCTACAAGCTTCGGAAATGAGCCTCGATAATGTTGCTTGAGATCTTGCTAGCTATCTTCAACTAGACCAACACTAGTAGTAGAGAAATAAATTTAGTTGGATTCTCCTTTTGCAGTTAGCAAATCTACCTTGAAGCGTGTCTGTAGGGGTTATGGTATTGAGAAGTGGCCACCTTCCAAGAGAACAAAATTTAGTTGGTCTCAGCCCGTTGATGAGAAACAAATCCAAAAATTGGATTATGATCTGTCTTCTAATCAAGCGTGGGATATAGTTACTCTCACAAAGCCACACAATGCAGCGACGAAAGATGCAGAAATCGTGACTATAAAGGCTAAGTATGGAAATGATGTGGTAATAAAGTTTCGGTTGTCTTTATCATCGGGTTTGGTAGAGTTGCAGCAGCAAGTGGCTCAGAGGCTGAAATTGGATCCCAGAACTTATCACATCAAGTATAAAGATGAAGAAGATGACTTGATTGTAATAGCTTGTGATGCCGACTTAGCATCTCCAATGCACTAGGCATATACTACTTGTTAGTTAAAATGCCTAGTGTGATTCACTTTTTTTAATTCCAATGCACTAGGCATATGATTAGGCATTTTGGCTCAACTCATATTCACTAGCTACATGTAGCTAGCCTTCAACGCTAGGCAAAATGTATTCAATCATTAGGATCATTTCCCTCCATCTTTGTTGTTAACGTGGCATTCTATAAAATTAATAGTATTTGGATAAATAGCTAAAATAGAGAGCATGGTTGGAGTAAAAACATAAAACAGTTGATAGGCAAAATAAAATATATACTTTATAGAAATATTTAGATAGGTAAAATGCCTACTACCGTTGGAGATGCTCACTGGAGCTTAGAACCATTTCTAGAACGTCAGGCAACACTATGATCTGGCTGTTGCTTGAGCCAATTACACAATCTTACTAATTAATCATTAGGTAATTTTTACATTTTTAATGTTAACGAAATGGACTTTGATTCTCTCCATTTTATATATATAATGGAAGATTTTCATTACATATTTAATAGCTATGAAATAAGAATATAAATTTATAATTAATTTAAATTAAAAGAAATCATTATAACTACCATTGGTTGATGAAATAAATCTCTTCATTACAAATATAGAATGGAAATTATCACAATCCGAAAGAAATGGGATTTGAACCCTTCTAGTCGGAGGTGTACATTTATTCCTCTGAAAAAAATGAAAAAAAAAACCTTGTTTTGAGCAAAATTAGACCGTGTTTATTGAAATATGAACGTGGGCAAAATTCGTACCCACCCATCCCCACCATCATGTATGTATATCACATACAAATGTATGGTCAGAATTGTTTAATTATGTAGATTTTTTCCCTAAGAGGATATCATTTTGCTCTTTAAAGTTTTATGCATTTTTTAATTTGATCTCAGATTTTGTGTAAATATCGATTTTGTGTAATATCAATGTCTTTTAAACTTTTGAAATTTTGATCAATTTGACCTTGTCATCCCATTTTGTTTACAATCAAACGGAATTTGTTGACGTGATATAAAATTTCATTTTACCTTTAAAATTATGTTTTAAAAATCAATTAGTTTCTCAAATATTTTTTAAAAAAATTTAATATTTAATTAATAAATTTTTATTCCAAAAATGAAAATTTTAAATTTTGAATAAAAAAAATTTAGTATAAGTCATGTTGAATATTCTTTAGGTAGTAATTGAATTTTGAATTTTTTTTCCACTCAATTTTGAAATTACTTTTAGTTACTCAATTCTATTGAAATTTATTTGAGGAATAAATTACTTATAATTGTGTGTGCGGACACAGATAGAGTAGTTAAGAAATTTTCAGTTCAATAAGTTTTTTAAGATCGACTCAAGATAATTTGTGACTTACGGGTATGAGTACTAGTACTGGTACGATATAGGTATGTCGATACAGTAATATTCAAAAACAGTAGGGTACAAGTACGGCTTGATACGTTTGTAAAAAAATATTTATTTTTAATTTAGAGTAATACAAAAATTAATTAAATAGTTTAATTTATTAAGATTCAACATACAATTGATATATTAATGCTAAAAGTACATGTATAAGATAAATCAAAATTAAATGTCATTATATTAAATAATTTATAAATCATAACTTAATTTTAAAATAATGCTAAGTATAAAACTAAAAATGAAAAAGAAGTCTAGTAAAATGAATTATATTTCTATAGTAGAAGAAAATATTGTTTCGACTGAGGTACGACACGACTTGGGTATATATTAGTTATGCCTGGGTTCGTTAAAAATTAAGGAAAAAAAAATTGAGCATTTGTTTTGTGTACCTAGTATGTATACAGAAATTTTATACGTCGGTAAATACTCGATACGAGTATAATATATTTGTCGAAGTACATATGTTTCATAATTTCAAAATAATTCTAAAGGAGGATTTTTATACTTTATTATTATTTTTTTTCGAAGTATATATTACTTAAAATTTCTTCTTTTTTTTTTCATTATTGCGATAAAAAAATTATTTATTAAATATTTAAATTTAATTTTATTAGTTTTTTGGGTGGCTAATTGATTTTTAAAGTATAATTTGAGAGCTAAAATGAAGTTCAAATGAAATTTGATACCATGTCAGCAAATTTCATTTGATTGTAAACAAAATATGATTGCATAAGTCAAATTGATCAAAATTTTAAAATTTGAAAGACAAATTGATATTATACAAAGTTTAGGAGTTAAGTTAAAAAATATGTGAAAATTTGAGTGGCAAAATAAAATTTCCTCATTTTCTTGGTCAAACTGACACTCTGTCTGGGAAGCTAAGGAAAAACTAAAATTTAACTTACGAGAAAAGAAGAGAATTGTGTTTGGTAGAGTTTTAGAATTATGATTTAAAAATAGAGTTGTATTTTGAGTTTGTGAGTTTTGGAATTATGATTTGAGTGAAAATTTTGTTTGGTTATGAGTTTTAAAAAGAATTTAAATTGAATGATGTGACATATAATAATGAAAAGTGGGTGTTTTGAAAAGTGTTTTGAAAAGTAAGTGCGGAATTAATTTTCTAAAATTGTAACCAAACAACACACTCAAACTAATGGGTATAATTAAACTTCAAAAGTTCTACCAAACAGATCCCTCTCTGATTTATACTATTATATAAATAAAAATGTTGTTAGATGTTTGAGTTTTAAAGTATTTTTTGAATTTTAAAAATAAAAAATTACATGCCATAAAATTATGGGGCATTTAATCAATATGGTAATATAATTTTCATCTTAACTTTTTAAAAACATTTTATATACGACAGTTAAGTTAAATATTCAACTTCTTAAAATACAAAAAGTAAAAATAAAGTTATTATTTGAGTCATTCATCGGTATGATAATAGTTTCAAAAACTCCTTAGCTAATTATCTTTTCAAAGATAAATTTAATTTTAAAATTTGTATCTACTTATATTGAATTTGGCCCGCAAAAATATCTTCAGATATTATTTTTTTAAAAAAGATAGTTGGCCAAATACCTAATATTTAGGTCTTAGACAAAATTTAGCATGATCTGTGATAATTATCATGTAAGATATCTTCCATTAAAAGAAATCTAAATTATTATAATTAAATTTAGCTTACAAATTTTTTATATTTTATTTTATCTAACAGACTCTAGGAGATTAAAACTAAAAATTTAAATTTCTCAAAAAATTTAATTTTCAAAATTAGAAAATATACATGTTATAATACAATTGGTCTATTTAACGCTATCTAATTTAAAATTTAAAAAACTTTTAAGTAAAAAGTTCAAAATAAAATCTTAATCATATTTATGATAAATCACATTTGAATTTGAAAATTTTTAAGGAAAAATTACTCATAAATCCTATTTGAAGAAAAGTTATTCCATTTAGTCCTAGAAATTTTTTTTCAAACCAATTAGTCCTTGTTATTTTGGGTATGTTGTATTTCCCTAAATTGGGGTTTAAAGTTTACTTGTTTGCCATTGTGTATGATTGTCACGCCCTCAGAATAATACATAAAACTCATCACTTTAGACATGCAATGATGTACGAGAAATAAATATCTTTCTATTAATCAGAGTAGCTTTTAAAGAAATATTACATTACTATTAACAACAAATTGCCCTACGGGCTTACAGCTTTCCAAGTTAACACTTGGTTACAAAAAGAGAAGAGTACTAACTCCATACATCTTAAGCCCTTGGCTTGAATTTACATATAATACATCAAAGAAAGCAAAACAACAATAGCAGTCTGTCTGCCTCTTGCCTCCCAAACTACACCCTTGGAAGTGGCATGCTTCCTGCACCTGAAAATAATGACCCATATAGGGTGAGCCACAGCCCAGTAGAAATACACTAAACCAACTATAAAAAATGACTAAGATAACAGCGTTCAATGGGTGGTCCTGTGACGCCCTCAAAATAAACCCAAAATAACCATAACATTAACATGTATTTATAAAAGAAAACGAATCATTTGAGTTATTCATCAGAGTATTCTTATTGAAAGACATCACATGTATCAATAGATAAGCATATGAGCTGTATCTGCACTTCAATAGATAAGCATATGAGCTGTATCTGCACTTCAATAGATAAGCATATGAGCTGTATCTGCACTTCAATAGATAAGCATATGAGCTGTATCTGCACTTCAATAGATAAGCATATGAGCTGTATCTGCACTTCAATAGATAAGCATATGAGCTGTATCTGCGTAACCCAACTTCTGGTTTAGAGGTCCAGCCCCTTTCTTCCAATAAACCTTCCAGTTTAGAGGTCCAGCCCCTTTCTTCCACTACAAGAAAAAACACTTTTGGCGACCACCTTTTTTTTTTTGGTCGCAAATAGTCCACTTTCTGCGACCAAAATTTAACTTTTGGCGACCAAAGATTTTTTTGGTCGCGGAAAGAATACCTTTTAGCGACCAAAAAAATGTTGGTCGCGGAAAGTATACCTTTTGATGA